GAGGGCCGCCAGAAATGTTTAGGATCGGACCACCCTGAAACTTTGACATCTGTCAACAACCTAGCTCAGGTGCTGCGGGAGCAAGGGAGGTACGAAGAATCGGAGGTGATGAATCGCCGCGCATTGAAGGGGTGCGAGAAGTGTTTTGGGCCGGACCACCCTAAGACTTTGATGGCTGTAAACAGCCTGGCTGTGGTGCTGCAGCTGCAGGGGGGTACGAAGAATTGGAGGTGATAAATCACCGCGCATTGGAGGGGTATGAGAAATGTTTTGGATCGGACCACCCTAATACTTTGATAACTATCAACAATCTGTCTATGTTGTTGCTAAAGCAGGGAAAGCTTATCGAGTCGGAGATACTTCCCTGGCGGGTGCTAGAGGCCAGAGAGCAAGCCTTGGGCACAGGCTACCCTAGTGTACAGTCCACTATTGACGGCCTAGCTCCCGCCCTTGATACTCAGGGAAAGTATGCAGAGGCGGAGAGACTGCTTCGATGTGCCCTGATAACTCGCGAAAGTTCACTTAGTCCGGAGTACCCTAATGTCTGAAATTCCCGTGCATCTGGCTTGTCTCCATGAAAAACGGAAGCGGTATTCTTAAGCTGAAGAGGCCTACGAGCGAGCCTACAAAGGATTCTCTATCGCCCTCGGTAATGAGCACCTAACTAGCTTGGAATATTTTCGGGGTTCAAGTTATTGCGAGATCAACAATCCCTTTCCGTGAGCGCCAGTCGGGTAGAAGCGGAGCACGGCGCTAATATCGGAATTCGCCTGTGATCACCTGGCCACCGTTCGTTTTCGTGGCTGAAGAGACTCTGGTGGTATCCTAAAAGGTTGTGGAAGCGGCAGAGTGTATGATAGGGATTCACAGATGGGTAGTGGTGCTTATGTGTACCTTTGTAGGGGTGGGATAAGGTGGTGCTTCTGGGGGACCCTGAAATAGGTGGGGTTTTTTAGTGGAGTTTGAAAACGTTGGGGGAAGTTTAGTAACTGTTTGGGGTTTAACCGCTCATTAGGGGGGAACTTTATGAACTTTTATCCATAGGTGCGGTGGTTTCCTGTGTTTTTTATGCGAGTGCGCCGGGGATAGGAAAGCAATCAAGGTAAAGAGGTGATTGAGGAATTATAGAACTAAATGTCTATATAGGTGTGGAAGTTCTTGGATTTAGTAGCTTGAGATATCTAAGGTCTAGGGGTTCGATCGCTATTTTATGGCTCGAACATCTTTCCCTCAATCGCTCCCATGTTCCACACGTTAATCTACTTTATTTCCATACCTGTCTTAGTCTCTCCTTCTGCTTCTTGGGTGTGTGGAGCTCTTGGTGAGTGCACAATTCCTACTTTTGCCACATCACTCCCCTAGGCATCGCGCCGCAAATGATTCCGGTACAATTTCACTCCTCTTTTCTAGTCTCCCGTCATTCTGACTAACCTCGCGGACTCGCATTTTGTTCTCAATGTTGAAAGTCACCGGCGATCATTCCGTGTCCGGGGATCTTGGTCAGTGGATAAATATGTTTCTTAATTATTTTCTATTTGTCGCACCTTTGTCAGTCCACTCTTCTCTATTAGTCGTGGATTGTTCATCAAGCAAGGGAGGTGGATATACCCTTGATGGACACCATGTATTGTTGTCCCTATTCGATATTGGGAATCGTTTGCAGTAAGGGAGCAGAAATTCAGGTCTTGGGTATATGTATAGGTACTGGAACTCCGGAGTTGTCTGGAACTCGCCAGAGGGATTCCCGGAGGAGCGCAAGAGTGTTTGTATTTTCTGTTCACAGTAGGGGCCGGAACTCTGAGTCCTGAGGGTACTTGATTTGCCTATGTGGGGTCCCTTTCTTCCGTAGATAAAAAGGATAAGCAAGATACAAAGCACTTGTATCTAAAACTACCAACCCCCTATCTGTATTTCTTCCATTCCTGCTTTCTAGTCTTCCCGATCAGCATCTCAGAACACTCAACGGCTTCGCCACTTTGTTGTAAGTCACGCAGAAAGAGTCCGTATCGAGGGAAGGAACCCTGCTCAATATATGAAAAGGCCTGGGGGTTGAGATATCAATTTGTTGTGAGAGACGTGATGTTGAATGTACAAGATGTACGGCATTCATTTGTGGCCTCATTCCCAGTGCATTAGTTCAGAAAATCCCAATACATTTACTAGAAGTATAATACATTAGATATTGATGGTGGGACATGGCTGTTACGGATGTGTATTGGATATGCCAGAGTTGGCTGCTAGTTGAGGACATGAGACGTTGGTGGATTTCATATATTATTAGTTAGCTTCTCTTCTGTTTCTTGTGGTTTCGTTTTATCCCGACCATCTCCATAAAGATCCTATGTTTTCCTTTAGTTATTTGCTATCATCGGAAATTTCTGTTCTTCACTATCAGATACGTGGATCAGTTCATTCGTTCTTTGTTACGCTTTATTTTCATTCCACACAGACAGAAACTCAAGAGTTACTCTATTGTTCTTGGACATCCGCTGCTACCCACCGAAGTGAGCATATTAAAGGTCAACCACCGTCGAACCTTAAATTACTTCACAATGTTGTCTGCCATAGTACATGTATCCAAGTCCATCCTTCTTATAGCTCCCGTCTGGTCTATATACATCAAGATGACTCGCATTATCATCCACATCATAATACCCCAGATTGGGTAGTAGGTATCCGGACATCCCGGCACTTTCCATCACATTAAAGTAACAATTTTTCGACACACTTACTCCAAATGTTTTAGGGGGTAGAGAGTTCAAACTTGGGGCGACCGTCCGAGTCATTTGGTCAAGGGTGTCCCGAGTGAGCGTGGGTGAATCACAGCCCATTACAAAGGAGGTGCTGCTTTCCTTTTTCTTCTAATGCTAGTCCGCCGAAGAGCAGGTATTCACACACGCAATCGGTGGTGCAACTTTCCTTTTTGTTTTGAACCGTGCTTCTGTAAAGTGGGTGCCAAAACCCCTCGTCGCCGCGAATTCTCGGTGCCCCGTCAGCTTTGTTCTTCTCCGCTCGGGGTCTGGAGAAATACCCTCCTGGCCGTTTCCCGCATTTGCCAGCCCGGTCTCTGTGCGCTTCTCTGGTATATCCGCATCCTCGGGCGATGCGTGCCGTAGGGATTATGAAGAATTTTGGTGATGGCATGGCAAAGAGGGCATGAGGCCGCTATCAAGAGAGGGACAAAATTGAGGCAGACACGTGAGAGAACTGTATTCTGGGGAAAGAAATGGGTAAAGATCCTCTGCTTGATTCCTTTCGCGACCAACTGTCGGGCATTTCTAGCCACCCTTCTAGAACTGAAAGTCCTTCTACTATTAACCCCCGGGAACTCACAAATCCTCGGCACATGCCATTCACCCAACCCTCCTTAAGTCTCACAGTGGGTCTTGTATTCCGTGGGATGGCCCGGGCATCGGTTGAGCCGGGCTGAGTTGTGTTCACCACCGAACTGTCGAGGTAGCCAGGCGGACCCATGAACCAGAGGTGGGAGGGGGGGGGGGGCGTGTGAGGGGCCAATAGTGGTCGACAGTCAAGCTCGGATCTCTTAATAAGATACACCTGGACAGAGAAAAATGGCTTAATGGTTGTGCAACCATAATACAATAAATCACCTACCGGTAGTCTGTCGAAACAGTACTCCCTGACTCCATTTGGTACAGTACTCGTAAGCTGAGTGTTGGGAATTGGCAAGATTCCTAGCCTCGCAGTCCCACGGACTCGCACTAGCGGCATTAAAGGGTTTGAATATTTTATACGTGCATCTGTGTACCATTTTTATTCCAGCTACTGAAAGCGGGCCCCCTCCGGATTCGTAGGGAGGGAGGGATTAATCATGTGAAATCACTCGCTGTTGAGACAACATTGCATAACCATGAACATATTTGATTATCCTAGATGCAACGGAGGGTATAACTCGATACAGTATTTGGATTATAATAGCGCCAGTACAGAGTCCGCTACCAAATTTGGATAGACTTAAGTTGTGGAGAAATCCCTAGGTCTAGCTTCATTGCCTCACTGGGATTTACCTCAAGCCCGAGCTAATGGTCTTGATTATTACTCTTCGTTGTACTCCCGATAACATATTCAAATGCAAATACACCTTCGTCTCCAACATCTGGAGGGAGGAAATCCGACAAAGATTGCCAGAGTGAAGTGAAACTGAAATGGGTATCATTGCTCAGAGGTGTTTGTGGGGCTTGACCTATTTGGCACCTAGGTATCATATACCTGTTGCGAGTCTTGGCCGCTGGCAGAGTGGCAGGGCGGTGGGCTGCTAGCCATAGCATCACCAGGAGCTGGCAGCTCTTGCGGTGCTGTGGGGTCAGTCAGAGCATACCTGAAGCCAAGGGACAAGACCTGCCGGGTAAGGGAACATAGGGAGAATCGAAGTGCAGGCTTCAGAGAACCATTCCTGAGCTTAAGCCAGGATAAGCAAACACTGCACCTGACCTCCTCAATCGCTAATTACCATTGCCGGCCTAGAAATAACAGGGAGGCTAATGCTGACCTACCAAAGTGCCAACGAGAGTATTTGAGGAAGTGGAAGAGTAAAACTAGCCGCGGTGAGCTTGAACTTGGATCCAGACAATATCGGAAATACCATGAAGCAATGGTCAGGCTCTCTCCCATGGGGTTAGGGTTATGGAGTTGAAGTCGCCGGCGAACTTTATACCATAGGCTGCCGCTCGAGAAATTCCTCCACCCCGCATGGAGACAGGATTCAAGAGGGAAAAATAAATGTGTTTGTTCTTTTAGTTTTTGCTTTTAGCACTATAGGCCGTGCGCATGATAAGTGAGATGCATTGCCTTCCACGAAACCTTTGACAGCCCAAAAAAGAACGTTGGGCATGCTTAAGATTGAACTCGCGGTCACAATCTGCTCATAGGTGGAAGGTTGCTGCACCAGTGCTGTCCGGTATTGGTGGCCAATGCTAGCAGGGTGGGCAGGGTCCACAGAGTTCTCTTAAGAGGACGGATTTGTTTCGCTCTAGTGAATCGAAATTTGCTGGCGTCATCTTTTGTTATGGGCCTCAAGGCCCCACCAATGTGTATTCCCAGCACATGAAATTTTTATCCACACCTGCTCTTGTTAAATATATTTTCACTTGCACTAAGTCATTGACACTATGCCCACCCTTGAGGATCGATTTCATATACCTCTGGCAAGGCGCCAGCTCACGTGGGGAGCTACTTCGAGGAATCAAAAGTTAGCAGAAGACACCCAAAGGATTCAATTACTGCTGGGAGGTATCATATTAGCATTATCTCTAGCATTATCTACTACTCTGTAGTTTCGTCCTCCACCAAACCCTAACCCCTAGAAGCGGCGAAACCCAAACTTCTGGGTACAACCGCAGCTGCCTATTTAAACCCAACACCTCCACCTCCTTCTCTTCTTTCCTTAGCTCTCTTTGGCTTTTGGTGAGTTCCCCGAAACTTCCCGCCGTCCCGTTTAAGCGATACTAACTATGGAACAGGCTTAGATCAAGTGTAGTATCTGTTCTTTTCAGTTTAATCTCTGAAACGGCTTTCCGGAGCCTGTTCGTTGATTACTCCTATTTTTGTTTGCGCCGGGATCTTGCCTCTGGCATGCTATTCCTGATCTCCACCGTGTCGCTGGTATTGCACTGTCTCCAGCTAATGCGAAGAACTGCCTATATCATTATATTGTTTTCTAGCATCTGTGCGAGGGGCTGAGACTGAAGAAATAAAGTGGATAAAAGCGTAGTAGATAGATGGATTCGGTTGAGATAGGCAATTCACTTGGACAGAATAAAATTTTGGTTCAAAGTTCGCATGATAGTTTCTAACTACCTGACCAGGTCCCTTTTCATATGACTTGCCCCTTCCTATGCCGTGCCTGTGTGGGTGAAAAGTTTTCACCTGTATCAAGGGGGGAGAAAACTTTCACTCAATGGAACGAGAAGGAAACCTGAAAGAAACTTTCAGCTGCAGGGAGATAAGAGATCAAACAGCTAAATGATGAAAAGAATTGAAGTATGCAGGGGACAATATTCCAACAGAGACAATGATGGGTTATGCTCGGGGTTGTTCTGGAGCCAAATGAGCGATTTGTGTGGTCTGGGTCATATCAAAACGGTCGGTATTGGTGTCGCAGCTCCAATGAATTTCACTGTGGAAGTTGGGCACATGTAATAGTAGCATTGAAGAATGGATTATCACAGGGGTTCCCGTATTTGTGCGGGGAGGTAGATCTGATATGTTCCCTGGAACTCGTTGACCCCTCCCCCCAGTAACACTGGACCAGCCACGACACGACCTCATTCTTGTGACAACAATCCACATAGTTTCCATCACCATACAGACTCTCTCGATGATCTGATTTACCTACAGTAGGGAATTGGGCTGGCCCCTAAGCTATATGATGACTCAGCGACGCCGGAATGGAAGGCAGGGTTGACATCAGGCTGATACTACAGTTCCAACTTGCACGTAGAATCCCATCTCACATTAGCGAGATTGGCCGTATCGAGCAGTTGGGGCTAATCTGTGTGATAGGGTGGTGATTGTCTATTGTGGTATGATAGGCCATATAGTAGTTCCAGACCCAACAGGTTATTCAAGGTGTCGGAGGTGTCGGGGTAGTGGTAGACGTGTACCGTACTTGGGGTCCGGAGAGAATCGGTGGACACTTGGGCAGTGTTTGGCAACGAGCTCGATGACAAAATGTTTGAGTTTGGCGAGCTGGCCAGAAAGGAAGAATTAGAATTTACCTTCATGTGCATACGGCCTACAAACCTCATTCCCATCCCTTCGAAATTCAGACCACGGAATAAGCAAGGTACTCCCCGAGTGCTGTTGTCCAGAGCATTGAACACGTGGCAGTTTTTGTTCTGGGAGGGGCCCGAGATTGTATCATACACTATGTGGGGCAGGCTGACCTAATAACTTTAAAGGAAAAGGCCATGATAGCGCATCGGATGTGGGTGGGCCCCGAATGAGCATAGGAATGGGAGCAGAAGCTTTAGTTGAAAAGCGGAGATGCCTGGAGAGGGCAAACCCTCAATCTGCACATCGGGCCAGGTTGGAAATGGAAACTGGCCCGGGATTTGGGTGATGGAAATTGGTGTGTTGGGGTATCCCACTCGTAAGTTATGCGTAGGTGATTCATTTGAGGAGGGTTCACTTTGGTGAGGTAAAAGGGAAGCGGATGTTTTGAAAGAGGTTTGGTTGGCATCTGTCCGTCACCTTATGCGCCGACTGGGGGCATGCTGTCGGATTGATTTTGTGCGGGTTGCGCGCATGTCCCGCTTGGGAAGAAGATGCGGAGTATGATACTAGGGCCATTCGATTGGTCCAGGGCTTGTATTCAGGTAGGCTGCCGGTAACTCTGGCCAACCGAGCGATGTGAGGTGGGTGCCTACAGGTACCGTACCGCTACAGCGTAGTACAACTGCAAGCACTCGTGCAGTCCGACGTGCTGTAGGAATCTGCTTCCCGGTCGCCGGGCTCTTGTGATTGTTTCGTGTGTCCGGCGGAAAAGAATTAATATCCACTCATACTCGCACCCTTGGCACCCGGGCCTTCCCTGCTCGAGATCCCAACCGAAGCCGGGCCAATCGCTTGTCCAAGCTTACATAGAGCTGAATGTGGGGTGAAACACGACGTACGTTTTTATTTTCCTCACTCGGAACGCCTCCCCTGCCCCATACAACCCCCCTTCTGGTTTCTTATTTCTACAAGCAGGTTCCCACCTCCATTTCTGAGCCTTAGTATACGCCAAACGTTCCGCCCCGACTCTAGCCTACAACAGAACTGAAGAGCTTTTCATTTCCAGATCTGGGGTTAGAATCGCGCCCGAGCATAGCCAACCTTATCGACCTACCATATTCTTTCAAGTTAGCTTGGGAACTGATAGTTTTCGATTATTTCGGTTAGCGACGGGGGGGCCGCCATTTTCGTTTCAATCAAGCGAGCTACAACTTGTTAGCAAGGTATCCAACCTTCGAACATGGCTTCCCAGCAAGCTAAAAATATTATCAAGCCGATGGACGGGTGGGTGTCCCTATCCTTCTACGCCGCACCTCTAATAATCTTTGTAGGATTGGTCAAGTCCGATCCGCTGTTGACGGGAACTTCAGTGGGAATACGGGTAACCATAATGTCATTGGCCATGGCAACATTGTCTTTAGTATACAGACACCCCGCGATATGAAAAACCTGGGAGGGACTAATGAAGGGCAGGAAATGGGAGCGGGGGGCGGAGGTATTAGCGTTTCTCCCCACATTTCCATCCCAAAGTTAACGCGCTATTAGAACCGAGAGAAGCATCTGGGCCCTCCTGGATGGTTCCCTATTGTAGGAACGGCGCATTCACGGGCCGTGATAGTGTCATCGAGTCGATAAGCGGAGTTTGCAAAGCTGGGGCTCATAATCGGGTCGCACTCCATGGGTTGGGGGGTTGTGGGTATGTATTTGGTGTTACATTGTACTTGTATGAGGTTTACTAATGCCACTTAGAAAAACCCAGATTGCTCTAGAATATGTTTACCGGCGTTCCAGTGAAGGACGTTGCCATGTTTTTTGGGTGCAGGGAAGTGGGATATTGAAGTTTGCGGTGGGTTTCAAGGCTATTGCACAGGATGTCGGAATCCCTCTAGTGGGGACCGAGAAGGATGAAGAGGAATTGCTCCGGCGTACAAGGACATGGCTCGAGGACCCCAAAAGCGGTGACTGGATCCTAGTGATTGACAATGCCGACAATGAAGCCGACTTTATTGGAAACAATAGCCCCATTTCTAAGTTTGTGCCACAAGGGGGTGAAGGGACTGTTATATTCACGACTAGATCTAGGCGGGTTGCGATTCGACAGGGCTGTAAGATCATCGAGCTTGGGAAGATGGAGCTGGAAGAGGCTATCGACTTGTACTCCAAGCGACTTGATAGCTGGCAGAGCTTGGGAGGTGAAGAAAAAAGGACTGTTTCAACGATCCTAGACTCGATGGGTCACGTACCGCTGGCTGTCGTTGGTGCAGCAGCTTTTATGGCTGAGAATGAGACATTACCCTCTGTTTACTGGTCCATATTCCAGGAGAATGATAAACGAGCAAAAGAACTGCTTTCCGAGCAGTTTTCCGAGATCCAACGCGAGGCTGACATGACCGAAAGTATCCTGAGTACCTACTTTGTCACTTTTGATAGAATCACGGAACAGATGCCCCTAATGGTAAAGCTTCTGGGGCTGCTTGCGTCCATCGATCGGCAGAACATACACAAGGAACTACTGACTCATTCTGGACTGGAGGGTATGGATGATTCGCTTAAATTTTGTCGGGCGATTGGGAAACTATTGAGGTTTTCACTGGTTACAGAAGCCAAACTTGAAGGCACAACGTTTTATGAGCTTCACCGTCTAGTCCAACTCTCTATCCAGACATATCTATCGATAGAACAGAGCAGCTAAGGGAGGACTACGGGACTCCGGGCCGTCTCAAGGCTTTTCCCTGAGTATGAGTACAAACGGCGGAACATTTGTGCAGCTTACATGTCTCATGCGCTCGTATTAACTAAGGATTCAACGGATACACTTGCTGAAGACCTTTTGTATCGCATAGGACATCATTATATGGAGATGGGCTCCTATAATAATGCCGAGATTCAAGTCCGCCAATGCCTTGCACTTCGAGAAGCGGATAAAGAACGGGACTGGAACAGTGACAGCTACTCTCGGATTATTCTCTTAGGAAAGTTATACTGGTGCCAAGGAAGGGCGAGGGAGGCCGAGGTGATATTTCTTGAGGCGCTAAGTGAAGTGGAGAATACTTCCGGGTTGGACCACCCTAATACTTTGACGGCTGTCAATCACCTGGCTCCGGTGCTGCAGGATCAAGGGAGGTACGAAGCATCAGAGGTGATGAATCGCCGCGCATTGGCGGGGTACGAGAAATGTTTTGAATCCGACCACCCTAATACTTTGATGGCTGTCAACAATCTGGCTGTGGTTCTGCGGGAGCAAGGGAGGTACGAAGAATAGGGGTTCGAGAGACGTCTCGGACCGGAACACCCCAATACTTTGACGGCTGCCAACAACCTGGCTCTAGTGCAGCGGGAGCAAGGGAGATTGCTTGCTGGAATCCTGCGTTTATCCAGGAATTTCATCGTGTGTGTCATAGCAATTACAGAGAATATCAGGGCTAGCATGGGAAGGTGGGCTCGGCCCCGCGATTAGCACGGGAGGGGAAAGTGGGAGAAGTATGGCGATGGGGGATTCCGCGGGGAGGGGTAGGTGGTAGGGCTATATTGGTATCTAGGGATTTTAGTAGACATGTGAGAGAACTGTATGATACAAGGGGAAAGGGATGGGCAAAGATGGTCTGCTTGATTCCCCCCGCGGCCCACTCTTAGACCTTTCTAGATGTTGCCCTAGAACTGAAAGCCCTTCTGCCCTTAACTCCAGGGAACACCAACCCTCCGCACATGCCATTTATCCAACCCTCCCTAAATTTCACAGCGGGTCTTGTGTCTTGTTTTAGGGCCCCGCGATCGTTTTAGTCGGGCTGAGTTGTGTTCTTCATGGGCCTTCCGAGGGAGCCAAGTGAACCCATGAACTCTGCATGAGGGTGTGTGCGAGTGGCTAGTAGTGGTTGACAGTCACCATCAGTTCTCTTAATAAGATGCATCGAGAATGAGAAATATGGCTCAATAGCTCTGCGAGTATGATACAATAAACCACCTACCGCTAGTCCATTGAAAGAGCACTCCCTGTACTCAGTTGGCGCAGTACTTGTTCGTTGAGTATTGGGGCTTGGCAAGATTCCTAGTTTGTTAGTCCCACGTACACCTACTCGTGGCATCAAAGAGCTTAAATATTATTAACATATATATATATATATGCCATTTGTGTTTGAGGTACTGAAAGCCGGCCCCCTCCGGATTCTAGGGGATGGAAGAATCAAAGTAAATCACTCGATATTGACTCAACATTGTATTACCAGGAATATACGGTATTTAATTATCCCGGCCACAACGATAAAACCTGATACAGTCCTTTGACGACAATACAGAACTGACCATCCTTCCCTGCCGGCAACGGCTCCAATACCGAGTCCGCTACCAAATCCTGATAGAGTTAAGCTAGGGAGAAATTGCCGGTTTCAGATTCACTGCCTTGCTAGCATTTACCTCAAGCGCGAACTAATGGTCTTGGTTATTACTCATCGTTGTAGTCCCGGTGATACATTGAGGTGTTAGTACCCCTTTGCCCCCTACATCTGGATGGAGGAGATCCTACAAAGACTGCCATAGTAAGATGAAACCGAAATGATATCATGGCTTAGGGGTATTTGTGGGGTTTGGCCTATTTGGCACCTGGGTATACCCGCTGCCAGTCTTGGACGTTGCCAGAGTGACAGGACGGTAGGCTGTGGGCCATAGCATCATAAACAGGAGATGGCAGCTCTTACGGCTCTACGAGGGATAGTCAGAGCATGGTAGAACCCAAGGGATAAGACCCGCTGGGGTAACAAAACAGAGGTATAGTCGGAATACAGGCTCTCGAGAGCCATTTCTGAGCTCAAGCCAGGATGGACAAACACCGCACCTAATCTGCCCAATCCCGAATCACCGTGGCCGGACTAGAAATAGCGGGGAGTCTATAGATGACCTACCAAAGTGCAAGGAGAGTATTGGGAAAAAGCGGGAGTATCATATAAAACTAGTCACGGCGAGCTTGCACTCGGGTATAGGTAATTTTGGAAATGTCATACCATCAAGCATTGGCCTGGGTTTCCTCCAAGAGGGTTAGGGTTATCGAGTCGCTGTCTCCGGCAAACATTATAGGCTGCGGCTCGGCAGATTCCTCTATCCCAGATTGTCACGGTATTCAAGAGGAGAAATAGATGTGATTGTCCTTCTGGTCTTTGCTTTTAGTACCGCAACCCGCGCACATGATAGGTCAGTTACGTTGCCTTCCTCAAAATCTTTGAAACTACTTTGGGCCATGCTCAAGATCGAACTCGTAGTTACACTCCGTCCGTAAGTGGAGGGTTGCCACACCGGAGACGTCTTGTACGGATCGTCAATGCCAGCAAGGTGAGCAGGGCCCGCTGGAGGTTCTCTTACCCGTAGGAGGGACGGATGTGTTTGGCTCTAGTGAATCGCAATTTGCTGGTATCACCTTTGGTTATGGGTTTCAGTGTCCCACTAGTGGCTATTCCCAATATGTGTAATTTTTATTCACACCTACTATTGCTAATCATGTTTCCGCTTGCGCCAAGTCATTGACACAATGCTTACTCTTGGGCATTTATTTTATATGCCTCTGGCAAGGCGCCAGCTCACGTGGGGGGCTCGCTTTGAGAAACCAAAACCTAGGGGAAGTCACCCAAGAGAATCGGCGGCCCGCCGGGAAGTATCATACTAGCATTATTTCTATCATAGCATTTTCTACTCTGTAGTTCTGCCCCCTACCAAACACTAACTCCCTATCAGCGGCTAAAACCAATTGTCTCGGCATTCCCGCAAGTTGTGCATATAAGGCCTCCACACCCATCCCGTTCTCCCCATTTTTCCTCAGCTCTCTTGGCCTTTCGATGAGTTCCCCTCCGCTTCTCCCGTTGTCCAATCTGACCCATACTAACCATGGAACAGGCTTAGATCAAGTGTAGTATCTGTTCCTTTTAGTTTAATCTCTGAAATAGCCTTCTGGAGTCTGCTTTTTAGTTTCTCCTATTTTTGTTTATCCCGGGGATCTTGCATCCGGCCTGCTATGCCTGACCTCCACTGTGTGGCTGGTATTGCACTGTCTGGCTGACTACTAGTGTATAGCATTAGATCTAGCCTCGGAAACGATTCTTGTACTCGAGTACCTTTAAACCGCCATTTTTCCGGTCCGTGGTTTGGTCAGTTTTGTCCTTTTTAAGGTTTCGGTTCACCGCAAAACCGACTAACACCGGAAGGACGGAGAAGCCTGAGTGCCCCTATTCGCATCACTTCAAAATCCCGTTCACGGACTAGGCAACCGGGGTATCCGAGTAGCGCCATCTTTAGCATTGAACACATGTCGGTTTTTGTTCCGGGAGAGACCCAAGACTGTACCGTACTATCTGTGGGGTAGGCTGAGGACCCAACAGTTTTGGGGGGAAGGGCCCTCATGGTGCATCGGACATGGGTGGGTCCTGAATGAGCATGGGAATGGGACAGAAGCTTTGGGTTAGAGCCAGAGATACCGGGTGAGAACAAACCCTCGACCTGCCTGTTGGACTAGATTTGAAGTGGAAACTGGCGGGCGATTTGGATGATGGAAATTGTTTTATTTGGGTATCCCACGTATAAGTTATCATGCCTATAGGTGCTTTATTTGAGGAGGGTTCACTTTGGTAGGGTAAACAAAAGCAGGTGTTTTGAGAAGGCTTTGTTGGCATCTATCTGTCCCCACACACGTGCAGACTTGGAGCATACCGGTAGGGTTAGAATGAAGCAGGGGTTAGTGATAAAAACCAACGAAGGCTTGGGGCTCACAATTACGAACCCCCCTTCGGGGGTCTGAAGTGCTTTAGAACATCCATAAAAATATGCTACAATAGCTGAATCAAGATTCAAGACTGCAATATTATATAGCCAAAATGAGAGTTAAAGAGAAAAAGGTAAATAAAGAAACCATTGTCCTCAACTCTTCTGCCCACATGCCTTTCTCAATACTATCACGTTCGAGAAACTCTGACAGTGCCGGAAAAACCCCCTCTTCCTCTTAAATGTTATTTCTGACTTCAGCAGATTTACATGTTAAGTTCAGGCCAACTACGGGGAAAGGCTCTGGATTTGCGCAGAAAAAAGTAGAAAACAACAGGATTATCAGCCTTGGCGAGCACCCACCTTTAGAGGTCATTTGGTAAACCCCCCGCCCTTTCGATTCCCCCACCTTGATTCCGCCAAGGCCTTCGTTGCAATACTGCGCACATCTCACCTGGGAAATACCGGTACCGGTATGTCGGGTTCCGATTGGAAGAAAATACAGATGATATTCAAAGGGCTCCCCAGGACGAGGTCTGTCCGCCCTGGTTATCTACCAGAAATGTTCGATCGGTCTAGGGTGTTTTATTCCTAGTACAGGTAGAGGTAGCTCTGGCCAACCAAACGATGCAGAGTGGGCGGGTATGATACTCATCGTCCTATGTGTTGTAAAGTACGAAGACAAAAGGGATCATCCGGCACAGCAACGGCAACCCCACAACCACTCTAAACTTACTACCTATGCAACCACAACTACTTAGAATAAACTGAAAATTTAGATAGATATCCATTAAATATAACAAAAACTGTATGTGAAATTGCAAAGAAAAAAAATCAATACTCTGTATACCATCCCTTTGCATCTAAAAAAGTAGCCACTCTCCTAGGCCTTGACTCCCATAGCCCTTCCAAGAATTCTCCTTCAATATCCTAGTTCCAAACCATATTAAGAGCTTCTGCTAGATATCCTCTAATATTGTTCTAACTCCTCTTAGTCTTGTGAATGTTAGGAAAGTGTTGGTGTAGCTTTTTCTTTACCCTTTTCCAACAGGGATCAATTGGATTGAGTCTGGGGAATTGGGTAGCCATTCCATAACCTGTATATAGTTTTCTGCAAACCAAGCAATGATATTTCTTGCAGTATATCTTGTTACACCTTCTGGCTGAAATATAGGATCTCTAACTGTGTCCTCCACCTCCTGCCAGACACCAACTAGGCCATTCTTTAAAACTACAATATACATAAATCTACCCATACTCCTGTCTAAAATAGGAATCAGAAGACCCTTATTTTTACCCCAAATGCAAGCTCAAACAATTAGCTTTATCTTAAACTCTTTCTGTAACCGGAACTGGAGTTGAGTCCGTTCGGTTCAGGGATTTGTTTTATGTTTTGTTTCACTTGTGGTTTCGAGTATCCTTTGATACTCAGTTTGTTTTACCTGTGGTTTCGAGTATCCTTTGATACTCAGTTTGTTTTACTTATAGTTTCGAGTATCCTTTCATACTCAGTTTGTTTTA